CGGGGACGGGCGATAGGGCGGGTAATGGGATGTGAGTGTGCAACAGGGTGTGCGAGAGCACCTGCAGGCAGACTGGGACAGGCAGTAAAGCGTGCAATGGGATGTGAGCGTGCAACAAGGTGTGCAAGAGCACCTGCAGGCAGATGGGGACAGGCGATAGGGCGGGCAATGGGATCTGGGTGTGCAACAAGGTGTGCAAGAGAACCTGCAGGCAGATGGGGATGGGCGATAGGGCGGGCAATGGGATCTGGGTGTGCAACAAGGCGTGCAAGAGCACCTGCAGGCAGACGGGGACAGGCAATAGGGCGGGCAACGGGATGTGAGCGTGCAACAAGGTGTGCAAGAGCACCTGCAGGCAGACTGGGACAGGCAGTAAGGTGTGCAATAGGACATGGGCGTGCAAAAAGGCGTGCAAGAGCACCTGCAGGCAGATGGGGACGGGCAGTAAGGTGTGCAATAGGACAAGGGCGTGCAACAAGGCGTGCAAGAGCACCTGCAACAAGACAGGGGCAGGCAATAAGGCAGGCGGTGGGATGTGAGCGTGCAACAAGGCGTGCAAGAGCACCTGCAGGCAGAAGGGGACAGGCAGCAAGGCGTGCACTGGGGCACGGGCGTGCAAAAGCACCTGCAACAGAACGGGGACAAGCAACGAGAGGTGCAATTGGACACGGGCGTGCAACAAAGTGTGCAAGAGCACGTGCAACAAGACGGGGACAGGCAACAAGAGATGCAATGGGAGGTGGGCGTGCGACAAGGTGTGCAATAGGACGTGGGCGTGCAAGAGTGCCTGCAATGAGATGGAGACGTGCGACGAGATGTGCAACGGGATGTGGGCGTGCAAGAGAACCTGCAACAGGACGGGGGGACACAGGATGTGCAACGGGACGTGGGCGTGCAACAGGATCTGCAACAGGCTGGGGGCGTGCAAGAGGAGGTGGGCGTGCAACGAGGTGTGCAACAGGACATGGGCGTGCCACCGGGGCTGTGTGTGCAACGGGCCATGGACGTGCAATAAGATGTGCAACGGGCCGTGGGCGTGCAACAGCGTCCGCGACAGGACATGGACATGCAACAAGATGCGGGTGTGCAACGGGGCGTGCAATACGATGTGGGCGTGCAACGGGACATGGGCGTGCAACAAGATGTGCAATGGGCCGTGGGTGTGCAAGAGCATCTGCAACGGGACAAGGGCGTGCGACGGGACAGGGGCGTGCAACGGGACGTGCAACAGGATCTGCAACGGGACAGGGACATGCAACAGGAGACGAGTGTGCAAGAGGACGTGGGTGTGCAACGGTTCACGCGCCGGGACGTGGGCGTGCAGCAGGGTGTGCAACAGCACCTGGACGTGGAACAGGAGGAGGACGTGCAAAAGGGTGTGCGACAGCACACGAGCGTGCGACGG